TTTGGGGCGTGTGGGTGGTTCAGTCGATCAAGTGTACAGCTCTTCATTCTGGCTTCTCAGGTCATGATCCCCAGGTCGTGGGACTGAGCCCCATATCAGGCTCCACACTAGGCATGGAGCTTGCTTGGGATTCTCTCTCTCCCTCTGCCCCTCTCCACGTGTATGTACGTAGACTCTAAAATAAACTTTAAAAAATGATAACAAATAAAGGTTTTCTTTATAGCGAGATGAAAATGTTGAGCCAGGGGTGCCTGGGTGGCTCAGCCGGTGAAGCGTCTGACTTCGGCTCATGTCATGATCTCACTCACAGTTTGTGAGTTCAAGCCACATGTCGGGCTCTGTGCTGACAGCTCAGAGCCTGGAGCCTGCTTCGGATTCTGTCTCTCTCAAAAATACACACTAAAAAAAGAAGATGTTGAGCCAGAGGCAAGGACTCTGGGAAAATTGTTTTCTCTGCTAGTTCTATCAGATGGGCTTTTAGTCACTAGTTTATAAGATAGGACAAGGACAAGGGATCACTTGTGGCTACCGCCATGTTTATGGAGCGGTTGAGTCTTGCTTGAATTGCCTTCTTGTGTTAGTCGTCATTCTGTCCGTGACCTGCCCTCTCTGTATCCTCCAGGGTCAAAGCGCGAAGCGGGAGCTCTCAGAGACAGCACCAGTCAGCCGCCAAAGACCTAACCCAGTCTCCTGAAGTCTCCCCGACAACCATCCAGGTGACCTACCTCCCTTCCAGTCAGAAGAGTAAACGTGCCAAGCACTTTCTTGAACTGAAGAGCTTTAAGGACAACTATAACACACTGGAAAGTACTCTGTGACGGGCTGATGGACACTGCTCCTGCTACTGGTGGCCTCAGGTCATCTGGCCGGTGGGCGCCGGTCAGCCGAACTCCCACTTCGTCCAGAGCTCGTAGGGTTCACGCCTAGAGGATCATTCTCCAACCTGTTCTTATGGCCAGTTTCAGAGAATTGGTTAGGACTTGATTTTCCCTTGGTAGCACTTTTTTCTGGAGTTGAATTCAGATGTTTTAATGTTTCCATCATGGCTTCCTTAAAAATCCTCACTTGGTTTTGATTATAGTTTGTTCATTGGCCTTTTTTCCCCTGTCCTCAGACTATAAATAGTCCTAAATTGTAAGAGTTGGGGGAGCCGGGCCTGGTGCATTCTATGTCTGCCCCTTCATACATAGGTGGATGGGAACCGTTTGTGTTTGAGACATCTTCGAGTTGATTGGTTGGAAAGGCAGACGTGAGCTGGTGGGGAGGTCTGGGGAGGCCGTGAGGTGCGCAGAACAACTTGCCTGGTGCTCCATGGAAACCAGGCTGTGTGGAAACGTTAACCCGACCTGGTCCCCGGAAATGCGAGGATCGGCCTCAGGCTTTCTTTACATGCTGTCCTGAATAAATGGGAAAGGGAATGTTGGCACCTGACACGATCCCACCCCCCCTCATTTATTGGGGACGCTATATGGGACAGTGAAGCAATGGTCAGACCAATGCCCTGCTCTGACGTTAAAACTAATAAAATGAACAATTAAAACACGTGATTCACTCCTTTATAGGTGCCTTTTAATCAAACAGGCACAGGATATGTTCTTTGGACCTAGGATCATATGGATGCTCCTTGAGACCCCGCAGAAGAAACCCTAAAATTGGGGCTCTGGTCTTTGCTCCTAGAATAGCCTGAGAACTGGGACTCGCTTCTGGTCTCCAGGGCAACAGGCCAGGTGACCAATCAGGTCGCAGACCCGGGGTCATTGTTGGAGGCAGACGTGTTGCCATGACTCCTGAAACCTGGGTGACTGGATGATACAGAGACAAGAGCCTGCTTGTGTCCTGGGCTGGTGTCCCGCAAGCGTGTGGACATGTCTGTGGGAAAGACCACGAAAGTAGAAGAGGTGTGCAGAGCTGGGGGGTGGGGCGGGGCCGGACGAACTTCCCAGATGGGTGACCCTCCGGTTTCCTGAGGTGCCCTGAGGTGAGCGGGTGGGAACAGCAGGAGACTGTGGGTGGTTCCACACCGGCTGCTCCCAGGCTGCTCCCTGCGCACTTTCTGGACCCAGTGCCCTCGCTTCTCTCTCAGGAAAGGCCCATGAGCCCCCTCCGGGAGGGTGCTGGGGACAGGGCTCTGGACTGAGGGGAGGGTGCTGGGGATGGGGTGCCAGCCAGAGGCGGATCAGCGACTCGCTTTTCTTGCAGAGTTTTCAAAGGGTCCTGGGATTTAAGAAGATGGTCGACAGGTAATTCCTGCTTCTGCCCTCTCCCTTTCCCCTCAGCTTGACCCCCGCACCCTCGTGTCCTCCCCACCCCCCTGGCCACCTTGCAGACCCGCTTCGCCCTCCGGGGCTCTGAGGAAGGACACTGTGGTGTGCAGGCCGCAGCATGGACCAGCCTCCCGGTGCTCACTCGAGCTCGCTCCCCATGCCACCCAGATGGCTTTACTGTCCCTTTCTTCCCATCCTCCCAGGGAGAATTGGAGCAAATTGTTGTTGTTGTTGTTTTTTAAGAAGAACGCAAGTATTTGTTGTATCAATCGCGTGATAGGTGCGCCGTATTTGTTGAATGAGCGAATGACGAGACCGGGCTCTGTGTCTTCACCCAGGGAGCTTTGGAAAACACGTCCGGACCTCAACCCAGAAGACGTCACCGCGTGGTCTGGGATTGGGGAGGATAAGCCCGGTTTTTAAGGTTTAACAGGTGGTTATGCCCACAGCTGGCAAGGATGTGAGGTGGGAAAAATGCGTTCAATTTTAGTGAGAGTCCAGATGGATGCAGCCTTTTTACAAACACAGTCTGATGGGGGTGCCTGGGTGGCTCAGTCCGTTAAGGGTCTGACTCCTGATTTTGGCTCGGGTCATGATCTCACGGTTTGTGACATTGAGCCCCGCATCGGGCTCCGTGTTGTCAGCCCAGAGCCCACTTTGGATCCTCGGTCCCCAACTCTCTCTCAAAAATAAATAGAAATTTAAAATATTTTTAGAGACGCCTGGGTGGCTCGGTCGGTCAAGCATCGGACCTTGGCTCAGGTCGTGACCTCACAGTTGGTGAGTTTGAGCCCTGCCTTGGGCTCTGTGCTGAGAGCTCGGAGCCTGGAGCCTGCTTCACATTCTGTCTCCCTCTTTCTCTGGCCCTCCTCCACTCACGCTCTGTATGTCTCCCTCTCTCCCTGTCTCAAAAATAAACATTTAAAAAATTAAAATAGTCAAACATGATCAGTTCTTCAAAAAAATATTTTTACAACGGAAAAACAAAGGTAAGTTTGATGAAATCTGTCACACTTAAGATCTCAAAATTCACATGTCCTTAGAAGTGGCAGCTGTACTCCTAGGGAGTTGACCTTGCATATACATGCCTGCAAAAGCTCTAGAACATACATAAACAGCATTCTGGACAGCATTGTTTACAAAAGTAAACCAGGGTACCTGGTGCGCTTAGTCGAAGGGCAAGTGACTCTTGATCTCGGGGTCTTGCGTTGCAGCCGCGTGTTGGGTGGAGAGATTACTTTAAATTTTAAAAACTAGGAACAGCCTACCTTGTTAAGTGATGATATAAAAATACTAGGCAGCCTTTACACAGAATGAAGCAAGTGTGTATGTGTTGATAGGAAAGTCCAACTGTTAACTACTTCTACTAACAAATGTATGAGCGTGTGGTAATAAAAAAATATACTTCCTAGTGTATGATAGAAAAACTTTCTGGAAAAATACACAAACTGGTAACTTTGAGAACTGGGGCAGAAGAACAAAGCTTTCAGTTTTCATTTGGTGTATATATATATATATTTTTTTGTTTATCCCGAGAGAGAGTGAGCACATGCAGTAGGGCAGAGAGAGAGGGAGAGAGAATCCCGGCCAGGCCCCACGCTGTCAGTGCAGAGCCGCACCGAGGTCGAACCCCCAGACCGTGAGATCGCGACCTGAGCCGCAATCAAGAGTCGGACTCTTAACCCAGTGAGCTACCCAGGTGCCCCAGGATTTTCTTTTTAAATAGTCTGTACACCCAGCATAAGTTTTGAACTCAGGAACCCGAGATCAAGTCACGTGCTCCGCCGGGATAGCCAGGTGCCCCCCCCCCTTTTTTTTTAAGCCCAATGTATTTGTTTACTATATTCATCACCACAAGGGCTCAACCAGAGACTTAAACCAAAGTGACCCCACAGCTGAAGATACACAATCCTAGGGGCACCTGGGTGGCTCAGTTGGTTAAGTGTCCAACTTCAACTCAGTTCATCACCTTGTAGTTCATGAGTTCAAGCCCCACGTGGGGCTTTGTGCTGACAGCTCAGAGCCTGGAGCCTGCTTCAGATCCTCTGTCCCCCATCTCTCTGCCCTTCCTCCCTCTCATGCTATCTCTCTCTGTCTCTCTGTCTCTCTGTCTCTCTCTCTCTCTCTCAAAAATAAACATAAAAAATAAGAAAGATAACGTAGAGAGTCTACACAG